TTGTGAGGTCTAAAAATAAAAATGTGAAAACAATAGAGAGAAAAAGTATTATACACATATATGCGTGTAATTGATCGAAACGTGGAGAATCGCCGAATTTCGAGTCTTTGGGGGAGAAGTCACCGAGGAAGAAGCATCTCACAGTATCCACGTCAGACTCAACACGTGTCGCTCATTCCTCTTCTCGAAGGCTACCAATTTAGAAAAAAAGAAAAACAAAACAAGATACTTTGGGCAGTAGGAGTCAGTTTCACGAAGTGGGTCCCAGGCGCGTGTCTCACACTCTCTCACGGGCTTACGTAGTAGACTCATTCAATTTTTTGGTCACAGCTGGATTGCGAGGGAGTTAAGTGTGGTGCAGATGCAGCATACCAGACCCCACCCAAAATTGTTATTTTAATTATTAATTATAAATAAACAAATCAAAAGGAAGTATTCAATTTTTTTTTTTTTGGTTGTGTGATGATTTATTTCTTATCAAGAATAGGAAATTGATTGAAGAAATTAACGTATTTGATGAGCTATATCTGTTAAGTAATTATTTAAAATGTTTTAAACATGAAAACAAAACTTTCAATTTGTTGATTGTTCAGCATAAGGCATACCCATTGTGTTCACGTAAGTTTTATCTGCTTTTGTAAAATGAAATTTTTGGGCACATTCGATTTACAAATTAAACAATACAAAGACGACGAGTTTATGTAGACGTGGTCGTATACATTCTCTTCTTGGACGGTGAATCGATAATGCGAGTGAAGAAACTAAAGCACAAGTGGGAGACTAACATTACTACGTGTCGATTATCCAACACCTTCATCGACTGAGCATAGGAGAACTCATAAACTAATACAAAAAAAAAAAAAACTTAAAAATCAATCAATACGAAACCAAAATATCTCAAGCATTTTCTTCGTCGAAGAAATATCTCGAGCATGAAAGCCTATATTCTGAAAATAATCAGAATCAGATATTTTCTTCCTTAAACAAAATGTATAATTAGTCGTGCATGGACAAAGCGTGGGAATGAGATGAAATATTTGTAGACATTATTTTTTCAAAAAAATATTTGTAGACATTACCTTGTCGGGGGGAAAATTATTTGTAGACATTCCAATCAGAAGATATATCACGGTAGGATCAAATCTAACAATCTACAAAACATTTACCTCATAATAGTTGATTGATAATTTTATATCGTTAAGGTGCAAAATATACTATATTTATAATTATCAGTCATAAAATAATATAAAATGATACATTGAATTTGTTACACCG